CTTGAGGATTTGGCTGGATTGTCATTTAGGGCACTTGGTTATATAAGTTTTCTAAGGTAAGTTCCTAGCTTAATAAAACCAAACCAAACTTACTGCCATCAAGTAGATCTTGACTCATGGCGATCCTGTAAATTCTACCCCGAGAACTACCTCTGTAGGTTTTCAAGATGGCAACTCTTCAAAAGAGAGTAGAAAGCTGAGTCTTTCGCCCACAGAGCAGTTATTGGTTTTGAACTGTTGATCTTGTGATTACCAGCCAAACACGAACCTCTATGTCATGGGTATTTGAAACGCTGAAGAGCAATTTTAAAGTATAAGGGTTTCAAGAGGGTTTCTTATTGTGATGACTACTGTAATTGATAAACACATAGGTTCTACAGGCCCTGTGCTCTGTGAGAACACCGTGCTGCAATCCTCCTAGAGTTCAGCATGTGCAGTGCTTTAAAAATAGGCAAAGTGACTTATGTTATCAATCAACAGCATTTTAACAAACTGCGTGATTCTAGGGTAGTAGGCAAAATTGGTGTGGGAATTCAGTGGTAGGGCCCTGCATATTCCAAATCATATTAGCAGGATACTCACCTCTATGAGGAGCCCTGGTGGTTTAGTGGTTACACACTGGGCTGCTAACCCTAAGGCCAGCAGGTCAAAACCACCAGCTGCTCTGTGGGACAAGATGAGTGAGGCTTTCTACTCCGATTAAAAGTTAAGTCTCAGAAATCCTATAGGATCACCATGAATTGGAATTGACTCGATGGCAGTGAGTTTGGTGTTTTGAGCTTTCATTTTTATAATACATATGTAGGCAACTAATACATATAATTATCACAAAATATACTAATTAACGTTTACTTTTATACTGACAAAATTATAGAAAAAAATCCTATGCAGGTGAAGAAGTTGCTTAAGCTTTAGTGATAAATGCAGGTATTCAAACCGTGTGCCAAGTGGGAGACAAAGGGTATCCTTAACTCACTTTTATTTCTTAATGCTGTCTTTCTCAGGAATAAAAACAAAACCAAACAAACAAAAAACAGGAAGGCAGCCTGTTGCCAAATTTCCAAGCTGTGCACTGAATTTAAAATGTGGTGGTACCTTTGAGGGTAGCTAAAGCAAACAAATGATGCTCCACTAAGCCAATATGGGCCACAACCATATCAAACACATCTTTACATATAGTTTTGGTATCACAAGTCATTTCCAGTCTTTGTCCACTCAGAAGCAGTATGTTTACTTTTCTTCGGCTATCCTCACCCTTTCCTTTTTTGGTCTGCAATGGAAAGAAACCAAGGGGATTTATTAAAGTAAATGTTACACGAACTTTTATCTAGTGATTAAAAAGAATTCATAAAATTTTCTAGGAGTGAGATAAGTTGGTTTATTACTTACAAGTATAGACCGTGGCAAATCCAAAGATATAAATGGCTCAATTGTCATTTTTACGAACTCAGGGCCAAAGAAATTCTGCAAATCATAGAAGCAAAATCAATAGTGTTTACCAATTATTCTCTCTTTCTTCAAAAGACAATATGGTGATAATAACAATAAATTTCACATAAGGCCACCAATTAAATGACTGGAAACAAATGGAGAAAGTTTCAATAAATCATTACCATGGCTTTTACAGACAATAGGAAAGGAGTGTGTTTTATATTAGAAGAACTCAGTTTCAGTAATGTGAAATATGAAACCTTGTTATACATTGCTTTAAAGGGTCTCATTTGGAAAAGCAGTAGTCTAGATTCATAAAGTAACAGAGTTGTCAAGCTCTTCTAAAGATTTGGCTGATGATTCTAACATGGGAAGTGGTGAAATGGAATCTCATTGTTTTGGAGAAGACTATGCAATTTCTTCAAGACAGGCCATAGTTAATGGGCAAATCTACTTTGTGACTGTAAAACACACCTGTCTATTTGTAGTCATGTTCTTTTTTTAAAATCATTTTATTCGGGGCTCCTACAACTCTTATCACAATGCATACATACATCAATTGTATAAAGCACATTTGTACATTCATTGTCCTCATCAATTTCAAAACATTTGTTCTCCACCTAAGCCCCTGGCATCAGTTCCTCATTTCCCCCTCCCTCCCTCCTCCCTCCTCCCTCATGAACC